GTTGCCTTCGCCACTGTTAATAAGTAACAGTCCACGTTTGTTTTTAAAACGTGCTTAAGGCACATTGCTATAAACATCTAGAATGAACACTACAGGGTGTATAAAAAAAAACCCGGCCCAAATGGGAAATTTGCTCTTAAATTCGCAAAACAGCTATTAGTATCCAGTTTTTGATGTATAGTATAGCTTCTTTGGGTACTTATAATGTAGAAAAATGGAAAAAATTTCTCGGACTCAAATTTTGTGAACCACGGGTGTGTGTCTTTTCCAACAAACTAAAAATGGCTTGCGCACGAAATTTAAAAGCTTTAATCGTATTTCGAGTTGATAGATGGAACATTTGTTGGGTTTTTAATTACTGTACAAAATTTCAGACAATTTGCTTTAGTTTAAGCCCTTTAACTATTCATTTTTCTCTAAAAAAAATTAGCCTTTCCCATGCTTAATTAATGCCTTTACCTAATTTGCATATTGCTGACATATGCAAATTAGGCAAAGGCATTGATTAGCATGCAAATGGCTGATTTTTTAAGAAAAAGTGTAAGTTTGCGTGAATGGTTAAAGGGCGTAAACTGAAGCAAATTGTCTGAAATTTTGTACAGTAATTAAACACCCAACAAACTTTCCATCTGTTAACTTAAAATATGATTAAAGCTTTTAAATTTCGTGCGCAAGCCATTTTTAGTTTGTCGGAAAAGACACCCCCCCCCCCCTGGTTCACAAAATTTGAGTTCGAGAAATTTTTTCATTTGTCTACATTATAAGTACCCAAAGAAGCTATATACATCAAAAACTGGATACTAATAGCTGTTTTGCGAATTTAAGAGCAAATTTCAAATCTGTGCAGTTTTTTTATACACCCTGTATATCTGTAAGAAAATGATCTGATTGGTGGAAAACAATGGGATCTAAAATCAACCAATCAGCTTAAAGCAGTAACGACCATAGATTGCTCCAAAACAAAACAAACGTGGCAGGAGTCTTACATAAAATAAAATTTGGGTTTGGGTGGAAAATTTGGCGGCCTTAATCTTTTTTAAAGGAAAGATTTAATTAACCTTAAATTAAAAAAAAAACGTGTCACCCCATGCATGTATCGCGGGCTTTTATCTTACCCCAAATAATAACCATCAAAATGCCTTGTTTCGTACATTTACAATAAGAATCAGATTACAGAAACATGGATTCTCAAAGGATGGTCTAAATATACAACGGATTATAAAAAAGACTTCAGGATCTATTGATCTACTCGGCCCATAAAATGGCCAGGTGCGGGAACTCATTTGAGTCCGAAATACCATGGTATGGCATGCACTAATCCTTTAATCCGAACGGTTCATATATTTAAACCTCTTGGTTAACGAGCGAAAATATGCCGGACAAATTAATGTAGTTGTAAAACTTACCTTTTCCCATAGCACAAGAAAAATCCAGGCATTCTTCCAATTTTTGTAAGATAAACTTTCCACGAGATACAATACCACATGCTTGACAAAACGTCTTAGAAGAATCATTCTGCACTGAATATCCCTGAAATATATCAGAAATTATCCTCAAACGATCGACCAATATATTAAAATGTGTATGTTTATAAACTACAAAGTAATGAATGATTATTTATACTTACAATTTGTGGCACGTGTTTGGAACCCAACACCGTATACGTACATATGCCAGCCTTGTTTGCAGCTGTGATTTCTGAAACAAATTATCATGAAATTAAATGGGGTCTTCCATGCAAGTAACATACAAGGACAGCGGAAACTCTATGTCTTAAAAATTCATTAATAATTCACGAGGAAAATACAAAAGAAATGAATGTTTAATCAATGTTTGTAAATCGGATAAAGATTTGTCCTGATTTACATAAACTTCAGCTTTGATTTTTTCAGCATAGACAATGTTTATTTTTAAAATTACTTCGCCAATGAACTCATAAGATGGATCATTTTTTAAGTACGATAAAACATTCTCATCCGATCTGTATCTGATATAGAAACTCTCGCCTTCGGCTCGAGTTTGTATATCAGACACAGATCGGCTGCTCATGTTTTATCTATAGTACATATAAATAAAAATTTTCTGGAATTATAAAAGCAACAAAAGACTTCAGTCGTTCATAATACTATAAAGCTTCTCCTGATCAAGATAAGATTTCTTAGAAAAATTTCCAGGATTAACCTAGGATTTGGAGAGTCAAACTAGGATAAAGCTAACCGTGGCTTTCGAACCCGGGGCCAAACCTCGGGTAACACTACTATACCTCAACCAAATCGGCCTGAATCAGGCCGATTCGGCTCAGTTCAACTCCGTTACCTATATTTATTGAATCAGTTGCAAAAGCAGATATGAATCCAGATTCTTGATCGTATATCCAAAGTTGATTCGCATTTCCATTACAGGGTTTTCTTGGCATGACCAATGCAGACGATCCATCATAAGCACTGCCTTCACTGGCACGACCAGGATCAGATACAGTTAACGTCGCATTGGGATTATTGTGAAGATGAATGGTGCTGAGAAAACAAAAGTATTACAGCGGCGGTGCACATGTTAACGCGGGCAAACTAAAGGCGCGGTAAAAGAGGATGGGAGTTAGTGAAAGTTGCAACTATTTCGCGTGTGTGACTGTCAACCACCGTCTACCTATTCTCATGCACTGCCATCGACTGAAATTAAGTTTGAGCAAGTGCATGCTTAAACCTTAAACTCTAAGCGCACAAAGGATATGGGTTATAATTCTTATTTAGACTCATAAATTTTGAAATTTGGCTTTGCAAGAATACCTAAGACATACAAAAGACGTACTCACGACAGAAAACATACTTGCTGCAAAGACAATTTTCTAATGTGAAACCAGATTATCCCTTGCGCGCTCAGAGTTTAAGGTTTAAGGTTTTGAAAGGACAACCTTAATTGAATCAGCTGTATATTATGCTTACCCATCGGAAGCAATGGTCCATCGTTGGTTTACATCATCCATCCTTTTCTTACATAAAAATACCTCGTTTACCAGTTTGTCCTATATAATTACACAATCAGTAATAAAATTGCATACCAAATTTCTGTATTATATCAACTAGAGGGCACTGAGAGATAGCGGTGACCGCGTGCATATTAAGGCTATGTTTACATTGTATCGGATCACTTTGCGTCCGACGCAAAAACCATACCGGATAGGGCTTCTGTTTACATATGAAATGTTGTTATCGTCTCAATTTCTGCAGCGAACCGGTGGTGCGGCGGTTCGCTCTTCGAAGTGGTGCGCGGTGTATCGGATCGGTTTTTGCAACGCTCTCATTGTAATGTAAACACCAATCGGAGCAATTTCGGTTCAATGCGTGACTCGGATGGAATCTGGCAAACAACTTACTATTCTAATAATATATAAAAGAAAATACGACGGCATAGATGTGTGGGGCGGAAGCTGTTTACACTCCGGCCGTAACTTTTCGCGAACGAAACAAAAACCGATCCGATACAATGTAAACATAGCCTAAAGCCCCGTTTACACTACGCTCAATTTTTGGTACGGCACGGATAAAATTGGTACCCGTACCACTTTTTTGGTTCTTGAACTACCTATTTAGCTAAGCCCCGTTTACACTACGCTCAATTTTTGGTACCATACCCCTTTTTGGTTCTTGGACTACCTAAATAGGTAGTCCAAGAACCAAAAAAGTGGTACGGGTACCAATTTTATCCGTGCCGTACCAAAAATTGAGCGTAGTGTAAACGGGGCTTAAGCCATTCAAGTATTCATGTAAAAGTTATACATAAACTAATTGGTCGAGAACAGTGCGACTTTATCAAATAAAGTGCCAAAGAGACATGCATGCAGTGCCGTGACTAAAAAACAATACAAATACGTGACAGTTGCCTAAAGAAAAACTTTCTCAATAAAATAAATAATAAATTAATAAATTAATAGTAGTAATAATTAATTGCAGTAATAAATTTACGTGGTGTTTCCACAAACAAAACCTATTATATTTTATCACCATGCAAACATACAAAGAACTTATTTCTCAATAAAGTTTTGACATTTGACTTTTGACGTGCATTTAAATGAGTGATAATATATTTATTTCGCACGTGTTTCATGCCTGAAAGTGACCATGAATTTGCTTTTTGGATAATTTTTTCATGTATATTATTAATAGGTAATTATGGTTTCTCATCCAATTTGGAACGGAATTCACATTTTCAAAGACTTCAATTTTGATCACCTTTGAAAACTCACTTTTCCCAAATTGCAATCAAAACCATTGTGTTACCTATACAATTTGAATCAAATTTAATGCATTTGTCAATGAGATATCTTCTTCAGAGACAAACAGACACACACAAGCAAACAAACTTTTCCTGGAGAAGAGAAAAAATTAAAAAGGCGGCACTGTACCTCAGTAGAATCCTGACCTATGCCAAGTACCAATTGATTGTTATTTCGCAGCTGAATCCACCCGTCATCATACAACCACTGGCAAGACAACAGCAAATTTTCTTTACTTGACTGGGATTTCGCTGTATGGTGTCTAGACATTGAGACACGGGGTAAAATGGTAAAAGTTAGCTTACATCTTCCAGTAGAGAGAAAGTGAAGAACATTAGGAGGACAGCAGAAATGACTCTGGGGCCGGTTGTTGGAAAGCCGGTTACAATACAACACAACACATTATAATACAATACAGTGGAATACAATAAAATACAGTGGAATTCAATACAATACAATATTTGTTTAATTAATATAGCCTATGGAAACATTTTTCCACAAATTTTGTCTTGATGAATGGAAGCTTTATTTTTCTGTGATTCTCTAAACTATTGAAATAAGCAAACATAGAAAATCTTGGTTAACCTAAAATGAATCCTGTTTGGGGTAACGTAATATTCCTGGTTAAATTTTCGTCAAACGATAATTTTATCATTTTCGTTGTAACAATTTTTTTGCCAATTATCGCGCGTTTACAATTTATCGTATCGTTATCGTTGTTTGGAGTGACCGGGACTTTAACCCAACATATTTCATATACCGGGTGTCCCAAAAAAAAGTACTCCGGTTTGATTCGTAATAACTTCTAAACAAGTAAAGCTTTTAATGAGAATTAACTTGCATCAAATAGAGGAAGGACTAACTTAGATTTTGATATATCACAGTTGTATTTCACTTAAAAATTCACAGAGATATTAATGTTTAAAATCGGGAGCATATTTCTGGATGTGTCTGAAATATGCAAAAACGGCGTATCAAATATTAATCAAGATTTGCCCGACTGAAACATGCACTATTACCAGTAAATAAATGGCATGTACTTGACAAATCGTTTATTATGAAACAGAGTATTATTATCTACAAAATAAAAGCAAGACTTATTCGTCCGAAATCCGCATGTGTTCCCAGCACGAATACGTTTCCTTATTTCATGAGACCACTGCATCGCGAAGGATCGTCATGGATCGTTCGTAGTTCTGAATTAG